ATTTCAAATTAGAAAATTCTTTGCTATTTCTCCTTAACTTTGGTTCAGGACCATATGTTGCCGAATTGGATTTCAAGAACACAAACAAAAAAAAAATTTTTTTTAAATAAAAAAAATTTTAAAAAAAGGTTTAAAAAAAAACACAAAGAAAAAATCCATAGAAACCTTGTACAATCTGGGACTATGAAGTCCATCTTTCCCTCTAGACCTTCCTTGATTGGCATGACCATGAGGTTAAGTAAGAATAAAAATTAAAATGAGCAAAACCATTGCAAACACCTTCCTTCCTGCTCCACATTCATTTCATTATTATGTATCTGCCACCACCACCCCTCCCCCAAACTTAATTTGGCAATATATTTTGGCCAGCACAAAATTTTGCTACCTTCCTAGCTATATAAAGGGAAAGGATATATTTACTGGGTAATGAGGGTATTCAGTGAAGAACATGATTAAAAAACAGGAGACAGATTCCTACAACTCAGCTACTTTTTAACATTCCTTACAATCTCTTTTCAATCTCTTTATCTGTAAGTAGGTTAAATAACCTGATTAAGGGGCAGCTAGGTGGTACAGTGGATAGGGTGTAGGCCCTGTAGTCAGAAGCACTTGAATTCAAATATGATGTCAGACACTTACTAGCTTCATGTCCCTGGGCGAGTCACTTAACCCTGTTTGCCTCTGTTTCCTCATATGTAAAATGTGCTGGAGAAGGAAATGGCAAACCACTCTAGTATCTTTGCCAAAAAAAACCAAAACAAAACAAAAAACCAAAATGGGGTCATGAAGAGTCAGGCACGACTAATTGACTAAACAAAAACAAACCTGACTGAAATAGCAATAAATATCGAATAGGATGCTTACTCTGTCTTTCTGTTGTCTCTTAATGATAGAAACTCTTCCTTGATGCCTCTGATCAGAATATTGAAAAACCAAGATATTAGGAAAGCAATTATGAAAATTTTAATGAGGTACTCTCCCACATTTTCAATTATCCCATGGTCCCATGTATAGTCACAGAATCACAGAAAATACATTTTGATTAATTTTAGGACTAGAATTTAGGACTAGAACCTTAGCTCTCCTTATTGTTCAAATAAAGAAACTGAAGCTTGTAGAGATCAAGTGGTTTACTAAAGGTTATTAAAAAAAAAAGTCATGGCTAGTTTCCAAATCACTTAGCTTCAAGGTCAGTGCCTTTTTTTTTTTTAACTAAGCCAAAATGTCTGTTAGAAATCATCTAGGCCAGCCCTTACTTTACACATTAATCTCTTCTACAAGATCTCAGATTCTGTTCCATCTGACCAATCCCTCCAGGTTTTTCATTCACAAGTCAATATGATGAGGAGCTAGGTAAAATAGAATGGATCATTCCTGATCTGAGGCTAAATTGTTTTATTCTAGCAGAGATGACAATGACTAGACTATAGACTTTTCTCATCATCTTTTGTAAGAATGAGTCTATTAGATGAATTGTACCCCACTGCTCTTTCAAAGGCCTGTGACAAAGTTTCTTAAGGTTAAATTCTGAGCCTTCCTAAACCCCAAGATCAAAAACAAAACAAAATACAAAAAAACTTATTTTTTAAATTTGCAAAATAAATAGATCTCTAACCATCAGCCTCATCATTTACCCCTATCTACTGTAATGCAGAAGGCTATAGGGTTTGCCTCTCCCTTATATTCACTTCTAAATACTTTTTAAAAAATTGAGTGATCTTCAGCAACTCAGAGCATTTAGTCCTTCAAAAAGAAGGTTCTTGGGGAAAAGACAGTTAAATTAAGTGAAAACAGAAAACTTAAAGAGCTCCCAAATAAATACATTAGCTTTACATTATGAATCAGTACTCTACAAAGTTCCATAAAATTATGTATTTATATTTAATAGTTCCTTCAATTAAACTGCCTCTGCCCAAAGTAGCTCAGTAATGAGTGTCTAAACTTCCAGAATTGCCAATCATTTTTTGATATCTATATATTAGGTTGGGGTGACAATTCTCCTAAAGTAGTCATAGATTTGTGGGTTATATGGTTATGGTTGTAGACTGCCGGCCCACAGCATATACCCCCTAGTTCTCTGATATTTCAGAGATATTTTGCCTCAAACTAGCTGTGTCCTTCAGCAAATCTCTTGATCTTTGCCGACCTCACTGTCCTCACCCATTGAATGAAGGATTTAGTCTCCAAGCAATAATCTTTTGAGAATTATGAAGAAGGGATCCTTTTGCAGGTATGGCTTGAGTTCCCATTATATGTTCTGTGAGAGGCTGTACATTTAGTAATGGAAAGGAGTGCTGCCTCTGGAATCAAATGACATGGCTTAGAATCCTTGCTGTGTTATTTACTACCTATGACCTTGGGCATTCAACTGTGCCTCTCTGCCCTAAATTTCCACAACTGTAAAATGTGGGAGTTAGACTAGATCATCTTTATGGTTCCATCCAAATAGAAATTCTATAAATGTGAAGCCGATTGAGGGGTGGTTGCAATGTCCCCCCTCCCTTTTTTTTAAAGAGAACCATGTCTTTTCACTCTATTTTCTCTAACCTCTTATCATCATGATGACTCTATGAGGGGACTATACAGAACTAGAACAGGAAGAAAGTAATATTTTATGATTATTTTGTAAGAGTGCAATCTGTGATTTCATTGGTTGGCATGGCTACTTCCTCCATCAATCAATCAACAAACAAATATTTATTAAGCATCTACTATGTGCCAGGCACAGCACAAAGTGATACTTAAACATCTTACAAAATGGTCCTCCAGAACTGCTGTGGCCAATAAATTCGCCTCAATACAGCTAACTTGATGCTGATTTTTTTCCCCCTGTGCTTATGTAATAATGGTCCTTGGAAAACAAGCAGTACATAATTGTGGCAGGACCCAAAGTCTTTCAATTTGATAGGACTTTGACCCAGCCTTCAAGGTCACCTTCATAAGAGAGGAGGTAATAGAAGAATTTAGTGGAGGATTTAATAGCTCGGGGAGTAAAATTATGTAACTTGTTTTCCCAAGAAATGGTAAGCGGTAGTTTACGAAACAAGTTCAAGAAGTGTTAATAAATGCATACCAGATCTACGACATGTTAAGACAACCTAGGGATGTTTGAAATAGCCTGCAATAAATAAGATTGAACTCGGGAATCAGCAATGGGTTTGAATTCTGGCTCGGCCACTCACTAGCTATGTGGGCTTGTAACTGCATTTCTTGGCTCGGAGGCTCGTGAGGATAAAATGAAGACAATGGGTATAATTGCATGGTAGCCCTCTGTAACTGATAGCAGGAATACAAAGAAGGAAGGGTGAGACGACTGCATAGTCTAAGCAACGGCTAAGAAAGCCTTTGACTTTTTCTCCCGTACTCCCTACTCGCCAGCAGGATTTTCACCTTGGGGAAAAGGACCACTTTCTGCAATCTTTGTCCCTCAACAGCTAACAGCCCCACGCCCATCACTTAAGCCAAAAGTCTTGGAATGCTTTCCGCAGAGTTCCAGGTCTCTTTTGCTAGAATAGGTCACTGTGACTTTTTCTTTCCTGACCACCGCCCCTAAGCCCACGCCCGACCACAGCATCAGGGGAACACAAATGTTGGGCTGCTGATTGAAGCTCTCTTTGGATTGGTCAAAGAGACACCTCCGTCACACCCCAGCTCAATCCAGGACTGGCTAGGCGCAAGCTTCCAGTCAGCCTCGACCTAGCACCGAGGGTTTGACTGTCTCTGGGAGATGGTGTCGTCACGTGGTACTCGGGCGCCCTCCGATTTGTAGCAAGCGGTGCCACGTGACGCCGAGGCTTGCGCTGGTTGGCTGATGCAGATCCAGGCTTCGACGAGATGCCGTTCAAACCGGCTGTTACTAAGAGGCATGCTCAGTTTAGCTGGGAGTACCTGGAGGATCCGATTCTCCGGGCTTTAGCGACTCCCGACACAGGGGGCGGGGAGGGGGTGGTTAGGGAGGGAAAGAGAGGGTGAAGCCCTACATAAGCATCGCGGGCAATTAAGAGGACAAGCTGAGGTGGGAGACAAGTGGTAAAGCTAGGGGAGGGCGGGTCTCGGCAGAAGATGGACCCGGCGTGACGTTCCTTCTGAAACAGATTGCCGAGATGACTTTTCCCCCCGGCTGTGGGGTGCATGTGATTTCCACACGCCGCTGCAGTATCCCGTGTTTAAAAACAAGCATACAGCCACAGTTGGAGAGTTATGTCTTAGGACGACTCCCTGCCCATCTCTCTGAGACCCTTAGGAGGATTGACCATCACCTCCAAATAAAGCCTGTGACCAGGCTTGTGACCAGGGGGCACTTTCCCCCAATCCCACTCTTTTTCTTGGTCAAACGCTAAAACCTGGACGAGCGGATGCGCACGTTTCCACTTGTCCCACCTTAGGTTAGGGTGTGCGGGCCTGCGGAGCGGGGGTGAGGTTGGTTGGTTTGTTTGTTTTCTCTTCTCGGGTCGGAAGCTCAGGCGCTCCACAGGCTGCACCGGGAGCGGGCGCCTCGGGGTTGCCTAGGTGACGGAGGAAGAAGGGTGGAGCTAGTGCCCATCCCAGCGCCGGCCCCGCCTCGCCCCGCCCCGCCCTGCCCCCGGCAGCACTGCAGCTCGGGAGCTAGCGCGCCGCCCGCCGCCGGGCCGCCGTGGAGGAAGCGGCAGAGGAAGGAGGGCGGGGAGCGGCGGCGGCTCTGGCACTGCGGGCCAGCGGCGGCGGCCCGGCGACGGCTCCTGCTTCCGCTCCCGCTCCTCGCTTCCCTCCCGGCGGCGTCCGCGGGGCTGCCTGTCCGCCGAGCGCGGTCCATGCCCAGGGCCGTCGCTAGTGCTGCTGCTGCTGCTGCTGCCGCCGCCGCCGCCGCCCAGGGGGCTGCCGCGGCCGCGAGGCGGTGGTGGGGGCGGCGGCGGCGGCGGCGGCAGCAGCAGCCGCCCAAGGACGCGGCGGCGGCGGCGGCTGCGGCGCGGTCCGGGTTCCCGGCTCGGCGGCCGTAAGTCTATGTCGGCGGTCGAGGAGGCGGCGGCGGCGGCGGCGGGGGACGATGCGCGAGTACAAAGTGGTGGTGCTGGGCTCGGGCGGGGTGGGCAAATCCGCCCTCACCGTGCAGTTTGTGACCGGCACCTTCATCGAGAAATACGACCCCACCATCGAGGACTTCTACCGCAAGGAGATTGAGGTGGACTCGTCCCCGTCCGTGCTGGAGATCCTGGACACAGCGGGCACGGAGCAGTTCGCCTCCATGCGGGACCTGTACATCAAGAACGGCCAGGGCTTCATCTTGGTCTACAGCTTGGTCAACCAGCAGAGCTTCCAGGACATCAAGCCCATGCGGGACCAGATCATCCGAGTCAAGCGGTAAGGGGCCGAGAACCCCCACCCCACCCTGGGGAGGCGGCCCCGGCCAGCCCAACCCACCCAGTGCGGTGAATGGGGGTGGGGGGGTCCTGCGGACAAGTTCAGGTCGGAAATAGAGGGGACGGGGCGGCCCCGGCCTGAAAGATCTGCAGCGGCTCCGAAAGAAGTCAGGGGAGGGGTCGCAGCGGGCGCCCACTTGAAATTTTCTCTCTGGGTGGGTTTGTGTGCCCTTGGGGGTGGGGGGGTGGGTGTGTGTGTGTTGGCCTTTGAGGATGTGTGTGTTTGTGTGTGTGGATGTGTGTGTGTGTGTGTGTGCGCGCGCGTGCATGTTGTTGGGTATGTTATGCTTTCAAGTTTGGCTTGTGCTTTGTTTCGCCAACTAAAATTTTGTCAGCCTGGGTCTGTCGAATCCTTTGAGTAAAAGAGCTGGCAAAGAGTCCAAAAGAAAAAAAAAAGTTGAAAGACTGTCCAAGGGGGGGGTTGTTTTGGAAAAGGAGAGAGAGGCGGAGAAAGGTGAATTCTGGAAAAATAGTTGCTTTTTTTTTTTTTAAATACAAGTGATTTGGGTAAAAAAAGCTGTTTCTTTTGCTGTATTTCACGACAGGATATTGCAAGAATGTTAAGGTGAAAGGGCAAGCGATTGATGCTGTTTTCGCTCTTTTGCCATTTTACATTTGTAGGGTTCAGGCTTAATAGCTAGTTTTGAAAATGATTATTACAAAATTCTGGACAGAGAAAGGGTACGATAGCTATCCGCAAGCCCTGTGGGTTTACAAATATAGCCTGAATTAGCGTGTGGGCACATAAAAAGGCTATTAGAGAATTTAAAGAAATTCGGGGGAGTTTTTTTTTTTTAACTTACAAACGAGATTTTTCTTTGCCGAATGGTTAGCAAAAAGTAAATTCATTTCTAAGACTTGTAGGGGAAGTTTCGGTACCGTTTTTTTCTGAAATGGGGATTTTCTCTTTTCTTTTTGTTTTGGTCTTTGTATAATAGGTGCTTAATAAATGCTAGTTTACTGGCTGACTTTTATCACCAACACCGTTATGAGTGTCTGGCATATAGTAGGTGCTTAATAAATGCTTGTTGGATTGAATTGAAATCCTTTTTATTTGTTCCTCTATATTGTGGACCATTTCATGCATTTGAAATACGTATTCCAAAAACCTCTGCTGTAAGATTATATATTCTAACATACTCAGTGATCTGAATATCAAACTTGCTAATTTTAAAAAAAAGTTTTTGTAAATTTTTCTGTCAGTCCAGCTTTGGACACCTTATTCTGGCATCTGCAGTCAAGTTATTTCTTCTGATTGTTATCAGTAATTAAGATTCTTAACTCTTAAGATATGCTGATAAATTTGTTAATGTACAATCTATAGTGCAGCTTGATCACTAGTTGTGTTTTCATTTGCCCTGCCATCTAGTTCAGCCTACTGTTCCCCCCCACAACCTATATGGATGTACTCAGATGCCATATACTTTAAAGAGAGCAGTAAATCTATTGTGAATACAATTGTGTCCTCTGTTGGGTTCTGTAACTACTTTGAATGGGCCAGAGCCAAGTATCCTGCATTCAGTGAGTACTCAGATATTAATTGAAAATGAGATTATCTTTAATGCAATTTGTGAGAGTAGAAAAGTAGAAGCAGTTTTTTTCAGTAACATACTCAGAATACTCAGTAGTTGGATTAAAATTTTTAAGTTTCTTCCAGAATAACAAACAAAATCAAATGATTATCTATTAAGTCTTATTCATAACTGAAAAATTTGATTCTGATTGTTTTTTCTCCCCTTACCCTTTATCTTTGAGATGGTCACTTAGCTTCCTGGAGAGGCTATATCATTAATTTCTGTGGTACACTTTAATATTAGTTTGTATAATCTATAAGGATTCACATTTTAAAAACACGGAACAATGGCAAAAACAGTTTCTAGAACAAAGTTGTCTGGTGAAATTGCCTGTTCTTATGTAGTGACTTGATGCTCCCAAGTCCTTCTTTCAAACTATATCAGATAAATGAACTTTTCTTATTATCTCTTCCATTTAGTAGCTAATTGGCTACTGTATGAAGAGCATTGGGTTGAACCTAGCTAGAGATAATTTACCCGGTAGACCTTACAGTTAGGGGAAATGACATATACACAAATAACTCAATGAAAATTAATAGGGATGCAAACATTGACCTGTGAAAGCAGGGCCTGGGAAAGGTCTTTATTAAGGAGTAGAATCAGGGAAAGATTTAAGGGGAAAACAGAATATAAGAATTCAGTAGGCAGGCGAAGACTGGAGGGAAATAAATTCTAGACTTGGGGAAAACTGAGCAAAGTCATGGAGATGGGAAAGTGCAGAAATGGATATATTTGAGTAGAGAACAGGAAGAAATCCGAGGTTGGCAGGAACTTTTAAAATACATGAAGAAGAGTAAGTAGTATAAGATTAATCTGGAAAGGTAGAATAACAATCCATAGAAGAACCAAAATGGCCAAAAAGTATCAACTTTACTCTTTAGGTAAAAGGGAGCCATTGAAGGACTTTGAGGGGGGAAAAAAAAGCCTCTGATCAGCAGGCCTAGATGTCACAAAGTCAATACACTAGTTCTTACACTTAGAAAAAAAAAAGCCCTTGAACCTTCACTCACAGCTTATTTACTCCTGTTTTTAAGGTGTAATGCTAAGTTTTCATTATCTGGTGTATAGGTTTGTTGCAAATTAAAAATTGACAGAGGGGAATGGAATAACCTTTAAAGGGAAGCACACTGAAGCAGGAAGTGACATGACAGCAAAGGAGACAGGAAGGAAATGGAACATAATCAACAAGCATTCATTGAGTGCTGTGCCAGGCTCCGGGATACACAAAGACAAAAGTGAAACAGTTCTTGCCCTCAAGGAGCTTACATTCTGGATTGTGCGTGTATGTTGTGCGTCTACATGTGCACATAAAAAATACCGAGTAATTTGGAGAAGTCACTGGCAATTGTGAGGATCTGGAAAACCACGTGGAAGGGTGATCCTTGATATCATTCTTGAAGGAAATAGCAATTTTACAAGGCAGAGGAAGGAAGGAAGGAATATATTAAAGGCATGAAAGTACAGCATAGGGAGGGGGTGTCCCTTGAAGAAGAGGAAGAAGGCCAGTTTGGCTGGATTATAGAGTGGGAAAAGGGGATGGTAAAATGTTGCTCAGTCATTTTTTAGTCATGTCTGACTCTTTTGTGACCGCATTTGGGGTTTTCTTGGCAAAGATACTGGAAAGGTTTGTCATTTCCTTCCTTATCCCATTTTACTGATGAGAAATTGAGGCAAACAGGGTTAAGTGACTTGCCCAGGGTCACACAGCTACTAAACCTTGAACTTAGGAAGATGAGTCTTTTTGAACCCATGCCTGGCACTCTATCCACTGGGCCACCTAGTTGCTGTGTTAATATGTTACTACAGATATACTCCAGAAAGTTAGGTTAGGGCCAGGTTATGAAGGTCTTTAAATATCAAACTGAGAAATTTCTCTGTGATCCTAGACCCATGCTTAGAAAAATCACTTTTGCAGGACCTTTTGGGCAAGAGGGCCTGAGTTAGGGTGGTAGATAAGAGAGTAGAGAGTGAGATATTTTATGAAGGTAGAAATGACAAGGCTTGGATATGTGAGGGAAGGGAGGCTGAGGATTCACATCCAGCTTGGGTGTCTGAAAGTTAAGGTGATATCCTTAACAGAAATAGAGAAGTTTTAATGAGAGCTAAATTTGGGGAGAAGACTAAGTGGAAAAGCAAACCTCAGTTTCCTGAGTCCATTAATATGTCATATAGCATAGTTTGATCACAGAATCATGAAATTTTAGAACTGAAAGAGATCTCAAGTGGCCATATTTGTCCCCAAAAAACTACAACCCATGCCCAAAAAAGACCCCCCCCAAGACACACCCAGTAAGTGATTCTCCAGTAGCCTCTGTTTGAAGACCTTCAATGGAGAGGAACTTAGCACCACCTGAAACAACCTTTTATACTTTGGAACATCTCTAATTGTTAGAGAGTTCTTCCTTATATTGAGCTTAAATTTGCCTCTAGTACAATTAATTTATGTTGTCTATATTTAATACTTTCTAACCCACCAGGGAGAAAAATCTGCTTCCAAGTGGTATGTGGGCTTACTCTAAATGATCCATAATGATTTTTCAAAAATGAATTTGCTCCTGTTTTTTTTTCCTCTGGGGTTAAGCAGAACAAGTTTATAATGTTGACCCCAAGTAATTAAGTTTACATTACATTGTTTACTGTGATGAAGGGCAGGATTATGTAATACATCTTAAGTGTTTTCTGTCAAAAATGGTTGAAATAAGAAAAGTTTAGGTACTTAAGCATACCTTACAAACGAACTTGCTCCATTTCATGAGAAGCAGCATGAGATAGTAATTGTCAGAGTTCTCCACTTAGAGTCAGAATACCAGGAGTTGTGTTTCTACTTTGACCTGGACCTTGTGACCTTGGCAATTTCACATAACATTCCTAAGTCTCAGTTTCCTCATCTGTAAAACAGGGGTACTAATACTTTCACTCATGGTCTACCTCACAGAGATGATGTGAGTTGAATGAATTATAAAGAATTATTTAAATGTGGGCCTTGATTATGGAGTCTTGATTAATGCTGGATAAATGAGGAACTGATGTTTTTACTATTAGCCTGAGCAGTTTCTCAGGACCATAGTCTGAGTATTTCATTTTGTTGGGCAGTTTGCCACTCTTCCATTTTTAAACACTGCCCTTGATACAGTATGGATTAGAACTGACAATGGCAATTTTGTCACTACAATTTGAAATTTATTTCCTCTTCTTAGACCTGGTCCTACAAAATCACTTCTGCCATTCTTCTAGTCTCCCAGGTTCTTAACCTCATTGTTATCCTCAATTCCTCATTTTCCCACTCTCTTGTTAATCAAATGACAAATCTTGTTATTTCTACCTCCACACCATCTCACATCCAACCCCTTCTTTCTACTCACATAGC